GGAAAAAAAAATGCTGCTTCGTGCAGGAGTCCATCGAGTACCTAGGACATGATGTAGACAAACAAGGGATCCGCCCAACTCCCAAGAAGGTGGATGTGATCCTACAAGCGAAGACGCCCAAAGACCAAAAAGAATTCAAAGCATTTCTGGGACTCCTGAACTACTACGGAAAGTTTATCAGCAATGCAGCCGACCTTCTACATCCGCTACATGAACTGCTGTGAAAAGATAAAAGGTGGGAGTGGTCGAAATCATGACAGAGAGCCTTCAACGAAGCGAAGAAGCAACTGATCTAGCAGAGTCTGCTAGTGCACTATGACCCTGCACTTCCTCTGGAACTGCACTGTGACGCATCGAGCCATGGCATTGGCGCAGTACTTCAACACGTACTACCCAACAAGCAACGGAGGCCGATCGCCTTCATTCAAGAACGCTCTCTAAAGGTGAGCGAAACTACTCTCAGATTGACAAAGAAGCGCTGAGTCTAGTTGAGGGCGTAAAGAAATTTCACTAGTATTTGTTTGGACGTCACTTCACGCTGTGGACGAACCACAAACCCCTGGTATCGATTTTCCATCCCGGTAAGGGAATCCCAGGCACGGTTGCAGCAAGAATGGAGCGATGGGCAATCATCTTGTCAGGATATGACTTCGACATAAAGTACGTTTGGACCGATACGAACGTAGTCGCTGAAACGCCGTCGAGACTCCCAATGACAGACTGGGCGCGGTCGCAGACCGAAGAAGACGCTTCTCAAACGAATGTTATCCAACAGTTAAATAAATATATCCTGCATTATCCTTGACCGGTACATCACACTTGGTGAGCATGTTTTCCTCTGATTTTTATATAACCTTTCCACACTTACGAAAACTATTTTGCAAAGCACTACTGCAACCGCATTCATTTTCCGCCGGAAATGACTGACCAATCACACTATGTACAGTGGTCTATTCACTTTTCTTTTCCATTTGCGCGGCAGGCGACAGCCGGGTTGTGTAAGGTTTGTCTCTTTATCCTGTATAATGTTTTACAATAACTCCGCGCATTTGCGCCTAATATTGTCGAAACTACGCGATTTTTAAGCGGGCCTGCACTCCAACTGGATGTTTGGTACTGCCCAGTCTACGGAGCAGACGATGCGCCAGGGTAAGAGGAGAGAATTTCCCCATATGGCTCTTTTAGTGAAATGCCACTGTACTCCAAACCATTACCGCTTTATAAGGAGAGAGACTGAGGCAATGCGTAGTTTTATTTTTACAATCCGAAAAAGCAGCATTCTATTTTTTCTCCAAGACAGCTGGGCTATTTTGATGGTTAGATGTCTGTGAGATATACCGGCTTCCCTCCACCCTCGCTAAGTCTCCTCTGCTTGCACCGATTATCCAAGCCTCGTCTCCTTCACCTAACAACGTCCGGCAGCCACCTCTTGTGCGCGCTGGTAGCAGTGATCAATAGCCATGGACGCATCCCTTTTTATTTTTTTGAACCTTACAAGGAACCGCAGTGCAGGCTACGAGTGATTGAAGCCAATTGTGACCTTGGGGAAGGACGCAGTTACGCGTGTGGCGTACAGCCACGTAATTGGCCCGATCTGCCCGCTGCGGGTCACTGTATACGGCGAAACGGCGCACAGGAACGCTGGCGTATGTGTAAAATCTAGGCAGCCCTTTTTAAACGCTAGGCTATATTTGGAAGCGAGTATGAATGTTTTCGTGTTTGTCTAAGACTTCTCGCCAGATCCGATTGTTTTTTTCGCTACGCCCTATACCTCTGTCCCTACCGTCCACAGCACGCCTCCGGAGCTGGGTGCTTCAGTTTGTCCCTTGGGAAATCTCTCCTGCTGCGTGACGGAAAGTTTCCCAGACAGAGACACCCAATGACCGTGGTGTGGTGTACGGAGCTTTCCGGCACACCCATTAGCGCGGATCGTCTAAACGAGCAGCAAGGTCGACTTTGTTGCGCTTGCACCGCCTAACAACGAAAGAGCGCAGCGGCGTGGTTTACTGCGTCATAAAGCTCGAAAACAAAACAGCCATTACGGTGCTTGCGATGAGGAGTAAACAGTACACAGTACCTTAGTGCCCGTGAAGCTTTCTCTCACGAGAAAGTAATAAAATGTCTTCGTGCGGCCGCTTGAATCTGCTGCGTTTTTTTTTTTTTTTTTTTTTTTTTATCTAAGGTTATTTTGCAAGTAGATCCTTTTCAAAATTACGTATGGCGACCTTAATCCCCATCAACAGGAGACTGTATGACATATTTTTCTTCACCAATGACGGTCGGGTCGGGAGAAGGAAACAAAGTGAATAAAACGAGAAAAATCGCCAAACGAAAGACGCGAAAAAACGAGTAATCGAGCTCAGCTACGACACTCAAATGCCTCCAGGAACACCATTCCCAGACACTTCTTAACAAAGGACAAAGCGTATAAAGCAAACGCGGAACCTAAAAAAAAAAAAATGATAGACTTATTTATTTGTTTCCTAAACGCGCAACCTAAACGAAAAGAAACAAAATTATAGACTTATTTATTTGTTTCATGTATAATGCACCTCAAAACTTCAGCTCGATGTATACCGCGCACTAAAGTGAAACAGACGGCCCTAACTTTTACGAGGGTCTTAATAACGGTGCGATATAACTTATTGAAAACCTAAAGTATGTATCAAAAACACTAGAAAAAAAAAAACACTGAGGTTTTGCGGTAGAACCAAGAAAACCCTGATTATTTTTTTTTTTAGTCACTAACACGTACATTAGCTATATTAAAAAAAAAAAAAAAAAGCACCACTCGGCTATCAAGCCGCTCGTGAAAGTTGGTACCGTCGGGTCGACGTCAGCGCGCTGTACGTCGAACTGAAGTCTTGGAGTGTCGTATATGGGACAAGGGGTGTAAGAATGCAACCTTATTTTTCTGAAAGTGCGTTTGAAACTCTTTGCACCGAGCAAAATGGGTCCACTGGCTCCTTGAATCCTGTCCGTAGGAGAGCAGGCACACGATAACTTCAGTAATTTCATCGTCATCAACTGGGGCAGAAACCATCACATCACCCTCGGTGAACCCACTCTGGCGTGTACACGTGGAACAAAATTACCATCAAGCCCCCCTCCACCCCCCCCCCCCCCCCACACACACACACACACACCAAAAAAAAAAAAAAGTTATCCTTTGATACAATTACCTCCGAGAGAGGCATTGAGCGATCTTCTGACGGAGTCAGCGCCGCTCACGTAACGAGTCGACGGCAGCTACCAATCCGCCCGCATATTAGACGTCAGAAGAGCGCGCAATCGTTGCGCAAATGAGTGGCAGGTTAATCACAGCCTTTGATTGGGAGCTAATTTAGGGACGCGGCGCGGCCAAGCGGACACCAAGAGGCAGAGAGCGTCTTTGAAGAGCCTCTTCTCGTTAACAGACGCACCCCCCCCCCCCCCCCCCCCCTCCGCGATTGTCCGAGGGATCCATGCCTAACTCCGGGTTCAGCTGACTCGTCGCGACTTTCCAGGCGCTGCGGGTGCAGCAGTTGCTTCGTGACTGTTGCCAGGCAACGGCACGGCCCTGGAAGGAGCGCCCGCTGCCGCTTTAAGCCAACACGTGTGAGACCGTCGAGATCTGGTGGGATCAAATTGGGAGCGGATACGTGGCAGCTCCGAACTTCGGAAGGGGCCCTTTGTAAGGCGCGCGCAGTTTGGTAAGAAGAGGACAGTGTCGCAGGCTCCCGAAAGGGCATCAATCAGAAGCACGGGCCCCATCTGACGCCAGCATCGTTTCGATGGAGAGGAAGAGCGAACGGGCGGCGGGCTCGCTAAAACGCTAGGGGAAAAAAATGCAACGGCCACACTGCAGCAACGTCACGTGTCGGGTGAACGACGAAATGGAGCCACGTGGCATTCACGGGTCATTGAATGGGCGGAGGACGCCAACGAATGGCGACTTTTCTCGTTTCGATAAAAGGATGGCGCCGAATGGGGGCAGGTTGCGTGATTCTGTCATCATTTCAAACGAAGGAATGCTTGTGCGGTTACGTTGCAAATCATCGACGCTCATCTGGTATGGCCCATCGAAGAACTCGAGATGGTGCTGTCTTTAGCCCTTAATTAGTCCCGAGATGGCCTGTTTTGGGGTTTTTAATGGGCGACCAAACTATCAGATGTGTGTCGCTTAAATCGCTACAGTGCTTTGTTATTCTCGCGCTGCATCTATATCTAACATTTTAATGCTATAATGTCACAACTAAATTAGGGAAAACAAACTTGATCAAATTAAACGTTGCGCGAAAGTGAATCAGTCTCTGTAAGAGGAGTAACTAACAACTGAAATACGGCTTAATTTTCGCGAGGACCTAATTTTCGCGAATTTCAAGAATCGCCTACAATTTGCGCAAAATAGGCTTGGCGAACAATTCTGCTAAAATCTAACACATTAGAGCCTATATTGAGATCCCACCGTGTCGCGTAAATTAGAACCCGCGATTTCTTCAAAAATTTCAGCTTTGACCTAAATCGCGAAATAATGAGCCCGCGAAATATAACTCGTCTACAGTATAAGGAATGTTACTATTAAGCGAAAGTTCGTGTATGGGTGCTTTTGATATACAAAAAAAAAAAAAAAAAAATGCACGTGCTGGAGAAAGTGAGGACATAATAAGTCGTTGCATTTTTTTTTACATATTCACCACTGAATGAAAACCAAACTCTGAATTTACATCTATTACCAAAATGAATCAGGATGGCTGTACTCGTCGTATTGCATAAAATACAGAGTTCTCTTTGCAGAAGAAAACGCTCCGTGACAGGCCAATTTTTTTTAATAAACGTTTTATGAACTTGCAAGCGAAAGAATGCAGGCGAGCTGGTCAGGAAACATCATGATCTAAACACACGGACGAATAAAATATTGATCAAGATTTGTAGCGTTTTTTGCGTTAATTATTTTATTCGTCCGTGTCTCAGGGTTTGGATGATGATGTCCCGCCAACCACTAAAAGGCTGCGCCGTACCTTCTTCTTGGCCCTGCACTGGGCGTTGATGTTGGCGGCACTCCGCTCTCCGGGCATCTGGGAGATCCAGAGCTTCCATACGATGAGCGAGTAGGCGGTGAGCATGGTAGCCACGGGCAGGAAGAACAGCGTCACGGTCACCAGCAGGTAGTAGAGGCGGCGGCCTGGCGTCGCCGACACACACTCGCCCCGCTCCTCGTCCCAGGACACCTCCGTGGGCCAGGTCCAGCCGCAGTACGTCACGGACTCCATCGGGGTCCACTGCGGTTCCAAGAAGACGGGGGTGTAAGTTCACTCGACACTTCCTTTATACAGGCAACGATCGCCATCCCCCGTGACTAAGCATCCTTCGCCGGAACAAATGGGCGACTTTCGATTCATCCTGAGGCATGTTGGCAGCAGAATGAACTGAAAGAAGCGAGGAAAATACAACGCTGGCCCCACGTTGGACGCCAGTGTTGGATTCCCCTCGCCTCTTATCGCTTTGGAGAATGACACGACACAATGGTTGAACGACACAATGGTAATCCCCGACACAATATGAAGCACTGATATTTAGTCACTCTCCCCGTGTCCGCTGGCTTGCCCGAACCCCGAGAGATGTAGAAACCGCGAAAAAGGTTGACGCTTAAATATGATTGCAATGGCTCTTTAAGGCCGGTTCACATATACAGCACAGCGCCGAATAAACACTCTATAGTCACCGACACGTTAAGAAACGGTAACCGTGACGAGCATGTAATTTCTTCTTGCTCCGCAAGCTATTAAATAGTGGCATGGGACGAAAAACAACCCGCCAAAGAAATAATCACGAAGCGAGGAACATGAACTTAATAAGCGTTTCTTTGACGCCATGGCACTGACCCGGTCACGTGATGTCAAGCCACGTAAAGTCACGACTTGACACTGTGACGTCAGATTACTTGACGCCGTGTTCTCTAGTAAATGTAGTGAAAAATGCTACCGTATTCAAGGGCTCTTGGCGAATAGGCAAAGGTTGGCGAAACTAAACAAAAACCTCTGGTTCCTAGTATCATATCCACGCGAAATAAAATGTATGTATTTTGTTCTTCCAGAACAGTATTGGTATACTGGTAAATATATCTTATGCAGTGAATACGAGGCTTGATAAGTGCGTTGCCTAATCAATGGTCATTTGGATTTGTATTTATATATAAAAGGAGTATCTGAACTGAGTTGCAACACTACTGTTAGATAAAAATTGCATTTCCAAGTGAGATAAAAGTGAACAGTAAATTTTGTCCCCTTTCTATTAATTGGGGTTATAAGTTTCCTCGTAATTCAACAATGAATAAATGCCGCCAATGGTTTTTTGTTTACCTATTATTAAAGGAACGCCACTAAAATTATGGCCTGTACAATTGTCTCAGAAACCTCGACTCAATGAAATCACGGAGTAATATGGCTACCCATACGGGTAAAAAAGTTTTGTAGACGAGGAGCTGAAAGGAAATATTTGTAAACACAAGAACACAAAAACACAAAAACACACACACAAAAAAAAATGAAAGGTTTTCTTTTTCTCGGAGCATATCCCATACGGATAGAAAAATATATAGACGAATAGCTAAAAAAAAAAAAAGAAAAAAAGAAAGAAATGGAAACACAAAAAAATTAAGAGAAAACCGGAACGTTTTCTTTTTTCTCGGAGCATTATCAATAACTTTAAGTGCGATATTCTATTAACGGAAATCAATATGGTGGGGTGCGTACTCGCGTAGACAAACCAGAAGGAAAATGCTTGCATTCCGCCAAGTCATTTATGCAACCTAATATATATCTATATATATATATATATATATTTATATATATTATAAACTTCTATTTCCAATCTCTATACACCAAGTTACATGGAAAGTCTAAAACATCCAGCCGTCCAAATGCCAAACAAGGGTTACATATTTTTGTAACGGTGATGTTAGATAACATACAAAGGGGAGCCTGAAAATCCAATATATGCTCCAAAATTTTCACTGACTAATATTTTCGGTTACTTGTTGATCAGAAGATTTTGTGAGCTCATTTCTAGAAAAATCAGGTATTATACTAAATTAAATATGTGCAGCTACCTTTAGACATCAACATCTGCCAGATTATATGATCGCTGTCTATATGTCAGAAAGCATTAGCGTAGCTGTCTGCGTAAAACGTTACTTTAATAACACTTCACACTTTTTCTATGAATTTTTCTTTGATCAAGTGTAATGTTTTAGATAAAACTTTGAGCATCGTAAAAGTGATGAAATTAGGTCACTTCTCAGTCTATAATATATGAATGAACTCTGCAATCACTACTGTATATCAGATTTTCTTTTTTTTAAATTAATGGTGAGCAAGCATATATGGTTTATTCTTAAGGCACCAAAATCGTCAAGCAAAACCAAAATAAAAAGAGAACATAACACTGCGTGTTTTTTTTTGTTTTTTTTTTAATTTAGGTCGACGATAGGCAACCACTTGTGATATTGGAATTATTTTCCCAAAGTATAATAATTTGTTCATTTTCCTTCAGGAAAAGATCTTTCAAGCATAAATTGGTTCTTTGAAAATATTAAAGAAAGCGAAAATGAGAAGGCGTTGCTACAGTTGATATTAATTATTACTCATGGTCATAACATGCAAGGTAAGTCAAATTTGTTTTTAATAATATAAATGTTAAGGTTTAGGCAGACCGTTTTGCTTGCCTGGTCGCTTTTAAAAGACAGGTGTCATTTAATTATCTTCGCGATAGACTGCTTCAAGCTATAATTTGTTTTTATTAGCTTTGACTGAAAGTTTTGAAATAAGCCTTTTTAAAATTAAGCTTTGGCACATTTAGCGATTCTGCAGTCTTGTAAATTGCACCAAGCTGTGAGTGGGACCTGTTTATTAAAATAATATAATGTAGGAAAGGTCGGAATACTGTTATTTAATCACTAAAAAATATACAGCAATTAAAAGAGTTCGAAGAAATTTTTTATATAAATTTGTCTCAAGCGCCGAAAACCACGATGCCATATCGGGCGTTGTTGTTGTCGCTGGTATTAACATGTTCAAGAAAACAAAACAAGAAATGACAGGAACGCATTAAAAGGTTTCATCGACCAGTTTAAAGAGGGAAGGACGAAGCAAACTATAACCTTTCGGCAGGGGTCACACTGTTCGTACATCATACAAAAGAAAGTCTGAAAACACGTCACCGTAATGACCGTGGTTCGAACGCCGCGTGCCAAGCTTTCTCTTTCAACTCATTACCACGCGGCATTTAAAGCAAGGATGTCGCCGTGACTCGCGTTCGAATCTTTATGCATACTATCTTTTTCAAATTAATAACCCGGGTTCCCGAGTTATTAATTTCACGAAGTTTTTTTTTTTTTTTTTCAAAGATAACATAAAATTGTTAAGCAACGTTCTAGCTGGAAATCACAACGTCCATGCGACACTGAATCTCCGCAGGCGGAAATTCAGTGTCACATGACGTCATGGATCCGCGCGACGTAACATCGTCACGTGACGTCAGTGTCCCGTAACTTTAAGTTACACATGACGTCATATTTTGCCCGCTAAATTTAGAAGAAAAACTTTCCCCCTAAATTTAGCGGGGATTTTTTTCGCTGCATTTAGCGGGAATTTAGTGTCACGTGGCGTAAGGGTGGGTACGTGACGGCACGGTGTCCATGAGCATCATCGGCTAAATATACCGGGACGCAAGTCCGCTGACTTTAAACACGTCAGTGGAACTGCGTCCGCTGTTGCCGATGTTCATTTGCAAGAGCATGACAAAAAACCGGATTTTTTTTAACACGCGAATAAGTTTTTATATTTTTTATTTAGCTTTCATTCAGTGTCATGGCAGAAACTTGTTTTGCGTTTTGTTCTCCGGCAACATTTTAGTTTGAAGTACTGCCTTTTTTCGACATACCCTGACTCGTTCAACTTTTATTCAAATAGGACTCGTTGCGAACCGCAACGGCAATATTCCTATCTTTCTTTTTCTTTTTTTTTTCCTTTGCGCTCAGCATTGGACATTTCTAGAAACCATAAATTAGAAAATAAGAGGCGTACAAATCACCGGTAAAGGAACGACGACAATGGAAGCACGAAACACGTATTCGCGCTAACGCTAGATTGAAAGGAAAAAAAAATATATGAAACGAAATGTACGTTCATTCAAACCGTGACACTTTTAAATAAATCGCCGTCATTCAACACAGTGTTGTAATCTAGAAGATGGAGTACAACGGCGTCGAAGGCAGCTTTATTCCCGCTGCTTTGGCAAACTGCTCGCTACACCCAAGAAAATAGATTGCCTCGAGCACAGCCGAGTTTGTAGAGCCTGTAGGCGCGCACGGTGGAGTAAACGGATGACATTATCGGCCATTTTGTCTTCTATACTCGCGGTCAGCTTTCTGTGGCAATCCGAAGAGAGGATGAAAGCGCGTGCACAGCGGTTGGTGCACCCTCTCCCCTAGCATTGACTGCATTGCCAGAGAAAGCTGACCGCGAGTATTTGGCGATGTGAGCGATCGAAAGCGTCGCTGTGGTCGGCCCACCACAATTGGCCGAATGCTGACTATGACGTCAGGAAAGGATGTCTCATCAACGGAAATAAGAGAAATGTAAGAACTTCAATTTTGACGGTGTTTGCGGTATTGCTTTAAGAGCGCTATGATTTCAGGCTTCCACCATGCCCATTACACACACCACCGAACTTGTTGTTCAGAAGGTAATGACGTCACGAAAGGTAACCAAACGAGGGCGCCACCGAAACATCTCGCCGCTAATTAGCGGCGAGATTAAAGCCCCTCGATATAAAAAACGCCTTTATCAAGGGGCTTTAGGCGAGATGTTTTAATGGCGCCCTCCTATGGTTCCCTTTCGTGACGTCATTACCTTGCGAACAGCAAGTTCGATGGTGTTTGTAAAGAGCATTGTGGAAGCTTGAAATCAATGCGTTCTCAAAGCAACACTGCCAACACCGTCAAAATTAAAGTTCTTACATTCCTCTTAGTTCCGTCGATGATAAATCTTTTGCTGACGTCATAGTCAGCATTCGGCCAATCGTGGAAGGTCGACCATAGCGACGTTTTCGATCGCGCACGTCGCCAATACCTTAGCTACACGTCTTCAGAACCCGCGCGCTTGGGTGCATCTCGACACCAGCGCGCGTCTCCAATGACCGCAGTTTTGAACTGCGCTCTGACTTATGACTAGAGACCGGATTTTAGGTAAATGCCTATTTTTTTTCCTCGCGTTCCTATCGCCCCATTTTGATATATGAGCACGAATTGGAGGTCAAGGATGGCTTTTATGGTTGTTTTACAGTGCCTATAAATGCCTATTTTGGGTGTTGGTGCCTAAACTCCGATAAATGCCTATAAATGCCTTTTTTTTTTTTTTTCTCAAATTGGCGCCTAAATCAGCACTATGTAGCATCAAGTTTCGCTTTCGAGTGCAATTTGATACCTTTATTCATTCTACCTGGAAATATTTACTGTTCTGAATTTTATGGGTTTGAACCTGGTCCTCTTTTTAAACCCCCCCCCCCCCCCTCCCTTTGCGCCGGTGCAACCGGAGCGGCGGCTTCTGCATGCTTTACGGGTGGCTTTCCCGCAGGACTTGGCGGTGAACGCACAACTCTACTCCCCAGGGGAACTATGATACCGTCAGGGGCAAAGAAAGTGATGGGGAAAAATTACGCCCCCCTCCCCTCGCGGGAACCCTGGTGTGATGCAACGCATCTGGGTGGTTCCATTGGTGTTTCCGTTGGGTTGATTCTCTAAAGGAACCGTCGCATCAAGCAATCGTCGAGTACTGCGAGAACCCGTCGTCACACGATGGGGAACGTGGCTAGAAGCTGTTGAGTACTACAACTGCTACTTTTCGGACATCAAGGCCGTGATCAACGGCCTTCCAATTGACGAGAGTGTCGCACTCACAAAGGCTCAAGCTGTCCTCTCCGTGAATAGCCTTCCAGGAGACCTCGCGTGCCTTTGTGCCAACTTCACGTTCTTAGCGGATTCTATCAAAAAACTTGAAAGTGCGGGAGAAACTCTTGTTACGAACGTTGCGCTAATTCTCCACGCACAGGAAAGAATCGCCACCGTTCCCGAAGGACCCGTCGCCGAAAAGGCACGTGCGAAGCTGCAATCGGTCTTGGACAAACACAAGGGGTTTTCAGTCCTTAAAGAAGCTTCAGAGGTCCTTGCTGGTGAGCACTGTAGGATCCCAGTGTCAATTAACCCATCGAATCTTCCCAAGTGTAAGTACGCACCAATCACATCTGTCGGCGTCGAGCGTTCGTTCTCCGCGCACAAACTCATTCTCAGCGACAAGAGGCACAATTTTGAACCCGGAAATCTGGAGATGCTGGTAGTTACCTATTGTTTCTATAATTTTCATAGTGATTCTTAAACTAGGTTCCGCGTTCTGTCCAAACACAATTCTTAATATTTATATTTCGAATAAGCGTATGTGTATTTGGCAGTGTTGAAAGGTCTTGCCTGTGTATTTAAGGTACCTGTAGAAAATTGCTAAAGTTTGTACGTAAGTTCCCACGTAACAACATGTTAATTTCTTAACAAACCTTGTCTATCTTGCATTTATTATTTTCTTGCTTTATTGTAATTTAATTGCGTCAGGCAGACATACCTTTACGCTTTTATAAATCAGTATTGCCATATTTCAAGTACTGTATCTCCTGCCTGTTTCACAATATGCGTCGCTTGAGTGACTTTCGCATCTGAACATGTATGTAAGCAATGCGCTTGTAAAATTAAGCCAATTAATCGCCATTATCCCAGAGGTATTACGGGGCAATTCCACGTCTAATGTCAATGTATAGAACTTATGAGAGAAAAATAAAGAATTGAATTGAATTGAACTGTTACTGCCATTGTGGCCTCATAGCAATGACATTTTTGGATTTCCTGTCGTGCTTACAGTTCGCTCACGTCTTCACTTGAAATTATTAGCATTTATCTAAAAATGTATTGCGCCTATTTTATTCTTTTTAGTGCATAAAACGGTGTTTTTGCCGCGTATTTTTGGCGCCTAAAACGTGCTTTTTTAGTGCCTAAAAATCCGGCCTCTACTTATGACCACACGAAGTATAGCCCTTTCCCGCTTACAAATGTGCTCATGACGAAATGACTGATTACGGAACTCGTTTTCGGTATCTCACACCGGCTTCGCGGGGAAACGTCGGTGGCGCTCTGAAGACAATCTCTTAAAAAGAAAAACGCAAGAAAAAAAACCTTCACATGGCTTGTTTCCACCACTCACAACGCGAGGTCTGCTAAATTACTCGTTCGTCCCGTTCCTGTGAGAACCCGGCTAGCGTGAGACGACCCGATGCCGGCGCCGTGGGTACACCCCGAAATAACTCACAAAAAGAGCGGAGGCGACAACAGCTACGTGATCCACCGGCCATGTACTTTCTTTATGATCTTTCTGCTCATTCCCTGTCCACTCAGCTCCGACAAGGAGGGGGGAATGACACCAACGAAACAGAGCGTAAAGGAAGCCAAGAAGAAAAAGAGAGCGTGAGAGCAAAACGAGAGAAGGACGCTGCTGGACCCTGTTGACAAATAACAGCGGCATCTGTCCCGTGTCGGAGAACCTCCAGCCGGTTCCTCTTTCTCTGGGCCGAGTGCGGTCTCCCAGCCACTGCATTCTCGCCCTTCGTCACTGACACCCGCCAAGTGTCGATCCGAGGGAATCGAACACGCTTCTCCGTCCCTTCCCGTCTTGGGCCGCCTTCGCATTCGGTGCAAAGCCGCGAACCGAGTATGCCGTCTTCCATTCCGGACCGTCGCGATTGCCGGTTTGGTAAAGGGGCACTCTCGAGCATTTAAAGCAACGTCACTAAATACAGGGCTATTCATAAAAAAAGAAAAAAGATCAGAGTTCACATTTTTAACTACAACAACGTATAAAAGACAGT